TCTCTTCATTTCAGCTCCTCTCCTCTGCTTTTGGCTCCTCCTTCTTTCGGGCTCTGCTTTGGGCTCCTCTCCTTTTGGGGCTGCTTTGGGGTCCTGTCTCTTCTTTTGGGGGCTGCTGGGGGGTCCTCCTTCATTTGGGGTCTCCTTTGGGGTCCCTCCTCCTTTTGGGGCTGTTTTGGGGTCTCTCCTTCATTTGGGGTCTCTTTTGGGGTCTCTCCTCCTTTTGGGCTCTGCTTTGGGCTCCTCTCTCTTCATTTCAGCTCCTCTCCTCTGCTTTTGGCTCCTCCTTCATTTGGGGTCACCTTTGGGGTCCCTCCTCCTTTTGGGCTCTGCTTTGGGCTCCTCTCTCTTCATTTCTCCCCTTTGCTTTTGGCTCCTCCTCCTCCTTCCAGGTCCTCCCTTCTTCTTTTGGGGTCCACCTCCGGTTTTGGGGTCCATCCTCTTCCTTTGGGGTCCTCCCTCTTCATTTGGGGTCACCTTTGGGGTCCCTCCTCCTTTGGGGTCTCTTTTGGGGTCCCTCCTCCTTTCAGGCTCTGCTTTGGGCTCCTCTCTTCATTTCAGCTCCTCTCCTCTGCTTTTGGCTCCTCCTTCTTTTGGTCCTCCCTTCTTCATTTGGGCTCTGCTTGGGGTCCCCTCTCTTCATTTAGGGTCCTTCTTTTGGGGTCCTCCTTCATTTGGGCTCTGCTTTTGGGGTCCTCCTCCTTTCGGGCTCTACTTTGGGCTCCTCTCTCTTCATTTAGGGTCCTTCTTTTTGGGTTCTACCTCTTTCTTTGGGCTCTGCTTTTGGCTCCTCCTTCTTTTGGTCCTCCCTCTTCATTTGGGCTCCACTTTGGGGTCCCTCCTCCTTTTGGGGCTGCTTTGGGCTCCTCTCTCTTCATTTAGAATCCTTGGGTCCTCCCTCTTCATTTGGGCTCTGCTTTTGGGCTCCTTCTTCATTTGGGGTCTCCTTTGGGGTCTTTCTCCTTTTGGGCTCTGCTTTGGGCTCCTCTCTTTATTTCAGCTCCTCTCCTCTGCTTTTGGGCTCCTCCTCCTCCTTTCGGGTCCTCCTTTGGGCTCCTCCCTCTTCATTTCGGGTCCTTCTCCTTTCAGGTCCTCCCTCTTCATTTGGGGTCTCCTTTGGGGTCCCTCCTCCTTTTGGGGCTGCTTTGGGCTCCTCTCCTCATTTAGAATCCTTGGGTCCTCCCTCTTCATTTGGGCTCTGCTTTGGGCTCCTCCTTCATTTGGGCTCTGCTTTGGGCTCCTCCTCCTCCTTTCGGGTTCTCCTTTGGGCTCCTCTCTCTTCATTTCGGGTCCATTCTCCTTTCAGGTCCTCCCTTCTTCATTTGGGTTCTCCTTTGGGCTCCTCTCTCTTCATTTCGGGTCCTTCTTTTGGGCTCCTCCCTCTTCATTTGCGTTCTTCTTTTGGGCTCCTCCTCCTTTCAGGTCCTCCCTCTTCATTTGGGGTCTCCTTTGGGGTCCCTCCTCCTTTTGGGGCTGCTTTGGGCTCCTCTCCTCATTTAGAATCCTTGGGTCCTCCCTCTTCATTTGGGCTCTGCTTTTGTGCTCCTCCCTCCTCATTTAGGCTCTCCTTTTGTGCTCCTCCTCCTTTCAGGCCCTGCCCTCGGCTCCCCCCACCCTTTGGGTTCCTCCCTTCACCTTTTTCCCCTTCCAGGACCTTTCCGGAGCTGAGCTCCAGCGATTTGCTGCTGTCCATCATCAGAGGCGCCAACCTCCCAGCGCCGCCCGGTGAGAAACGGGGCCAAAAAGGGGGG